ACTACAAATATCCGCCTTATAAACGAACATTTTTTTACACCGAATATAAAAGGACTCACACATCACTCTAAGATAAAAGATATCTATTATATTTGCATATACCCTTTCACCACAATTTTTTATATGTCTTAAGTTTCCGATAAAATAAAATACCAAGAAGAACCATCCTAGCACAAACTACTACAAGTTCATTTCACATTGAAAAAGTATTAAGTCGTAGCATTTCCATGAAATTATATATAATAAGAGCATTTCACATTGAAGAGGTTTTCAATCGTAGCTCTTTAAAGAAATGGAATGTAATAAGTGCACTTCTCATTGAAGAGGATTTCAATCATAGCTTTTCAAGGAAATGCAAAAAAACTATGTATACTTCATAATGCACTTAATTTCAGTTATAGTTTTTCAATGAAATGAAATTTAAGTGCACTTCATATCACAGTAAGAGTCAATTGAAGCTTTACAATGAAATATACTTTAATTTGTGATTTTCATTTTACAGTTCTTTATTAATTTAGCTTTTCAATGTAATAAAACTGAATCAAGGCACTTCACATTACAATGGACTTCTGTCGTAGCTTTTCAATGAAATAAAATTCCATAGAATCTGATAGAAATAAAAGTTTAAAAAAAGAGAACAAAAATTTTATTTTTTTAGATCCTGAAAATCAATGTTCTCGTGAAGAAACACTTCACGTGACTTCACGAGATCTATGCCATTATGACTGTATCTAAAATTCACAAGGCTTCAGAATATCGACTGTAGATTTTCTTTTTTTTTTTTCTTTTTTTTTTTTTCAAATTTCGTTTCCGGCCATTGATTTCTGCCAAGGCGAAAACATTTACGAATTCTTCTTTCTTTTATTCACGATTCGTAAAATCAATCCTATTGTGAGGAAGCTTTCGAAAGATCACACATTTAATATTATTCTTTAAGCTGAACCAAAAAGAGCATAAGTTTCTTGCCTTTTATTTTTTTTTATATAACAGAGTTTTTATATTAGTTTATTACATATTATCTAATTTAAATCTAACCTTCAAATTAAACACACACTGGTAACCTAATTAAGTATACGTGGACAAATACTCCTTTATGAATAATGCTCAGCTAATGACGTGGCAGAAATTTAATGGATATATTTATTTAAACATATAATAAAATAATTTCATGGATTAATATGGGAAATAATAATAAAAAAAACTTTGAATGTGGTACTGTTGTTAGTGCCAAACGAGTGGATTTGCCTATTTCAGAAACTTATGGTATTCACGCACAACAATCTCTAGAGTTTAAAAATATTAGTCAGAAAAGAAAAAAAAATCGAATGTGCGGCAATTCTGTGAGCGGAAATTCCTTGTAGATGAAAGAGTTTAGAGGATAATGGTCAGACCGTTTGAAGCTAATAACACAACCATATGTTCTAACCAGTTCATTAAAGTCAAATTGGCAGGGAATATAAAAAAGATATACTTTCTGTTGTTAACTGGGGCAAGCAATGGCCTATTAATTTTAATGATTCCAAAACGAAACTGCTCTTCTATAATCGCACTAGAGAAGTCTTTTTACCATCTATCAGCATAGCTGATGCTAAACTCCCGGATAGTGATTCATTTGCACCTTTTATATATTTTATCATCTTTTATTTTATCACCTTTTATATATTTTATCATCTATCTTTCGTCTTTCCTTTTAATACCGATGCCATTTCTGATCTGGATCTCCTGTTATATATTTAGAGAGTCTTGATAAAATCAATGATCATCTGCAATGATCCTGACCTGGCATCTCGGCTTCAGTTATTTTCCCAGCGCAATAACGTAGCTTCTCTGTGGATTTTCTATAAATTATTTCATGATAATTGTTTTGATGAACTTTCCTCTGTGGTACCTACTTTATAAATATAAGCGTAGTAATATATTGGCAATAAGATCTCATCATTTTACAGGTGAATTGGCTAGATGCAACCGTAAGTTCTATGGTAACAGTTTCTTTTCTCGCATTTCTCGCCTGTGAAACTCTCTTCAGGGTTATTGTTTCCCAGTCAACTTCGATCGTCAAAAATGTAAATGCAATGTTAATCGTTATCTGCTGTCTTTTTAATTCTTGTTCTTTTATTGTTCGCTTTCCTTAATAGTATTTTTTTGCATATTCTCAGTAACCACTTGTGTCTTAGTGACTTTATTGCCTTGCTTGGGGGTGAAATAATAAAAAAGAAGGGCTCCAGCAGCAGAAGGATACATAACAATTTACTAAAGATAAAACTAATTGCTCAATAGAAGATTGGAAAAAAAAAAACTTTCTTGATCTGATGGGTCTCGAATTTGTTGACGACATTCGTAAGGCAGAGGCAGAATTTGACGTAAATCCCATGAAAATATTGATTCAGCCTGTAGTTCAGGATAGTGATGGTGTAACAGTATGGCGAATAGTTACTTGGATACATTGGCGAATAGTTTCTTGGAATAAGTTGGAAAATAGTTACTTGGAAGAAGTTGGAAAATAGTTTCTTGGAATACATTGACGGATAGTTTCTTGAAATATATTGGCGAAAACTTTCTTGAAATATATTAATGAATAGTTTTTTGGAATACATTCGTAAATAATTTCTTGGAATACATTGACGAATAGTTTCTTGGAATACATTGGTGAATAGTTTCTTAGAATGCATTGGCAAATAATTTCTTGGAATACACTGATGAATAGTTTCTTGGAATACATTGGCATATAATTTCTTGAAATATATTAATGAATAGTTTATTGGAATATATTGGCAAATAGTTTCTTGGAATACAATGATCAATAGTTTCTTGGAATACATTGGTGAATAGTTTATTGGAATATATTGACGAATAGTTTCTTGAAATATATTGGCAAATTGTTACTTGTAATATATTGACGAATATTTTTTTTTAATACGTTCGCAAATAGTTTCCTGGAATCCATTGGCCAATAGTTTTTTTTTAATATATTGACGAATAGTTTTTTTAGAATAAATTGGCAAATAGTTTCTTGGAATACATTAGCGAATAGTTTCGTTGAATACATTGAAGAATAGTTTCTTGGAATACATTGGCAAATAATTTCTTGGAATACATTGGTAAATCTTTTTTTGGAATATATTGGCGAATAGTTTCTTGGAATACATTGGCAAATAATTTCTTGGAATACATTGGTGAATCATTTTTTGAAATATATTGGCAAATAGTTTCTTGGAATACATTGGGACCGTTATATAGTTTAAATACCACATCCTACCTAGGAATTACGACTAGGAATTCATGGCTACAATGCCCCGATCCTCTAGAAGAGGAGTTCTTAACCAGTGAAGAATTCCCCATAAGGGTGAATTTCATGATTTCAGTTGGGAGGGAAAAATATTTTTCTTTTTCTCTTTTTTTATTTACACAATTTGGAGCAAACAATGAATTTTAAAAACAAACTTCTCCGTTAAAATAATCTATGTAAATATATATGTGCTAATATGGAAATGAATGAAGATTTTCAATGATTTTATTGGGAATGAACCTTGTGAACCTTGTGAAATCTTTGAAAGCGAGGTAATGACATTCGAACGCATAGTCAAAAAACATTTTGACATATGGTAAAATAATCTACTTCAATGTACATGTTCTAATATGGAAGCGAATGAAATTTTTAATACTTTTATTTGGAAAAAAAAAACCTTTTGAATCCGACAATTTTGGGAAACGAGGGAATGGGCCAAAATGTTTGAGAACCACTATTGAAAAGAGTATTTCTAGTGGGACAACGCACTATGTCACGAAAAAGAAAAATAGTGGCAGTTTCGTTCATGAAACACAATAATTAGTTTTCTGTATTAAAGGAGCATCCGAACGTACTTTGATCCCATAGAGCAGCTTTGGTATATGATAGAAAAGCGATTAGAATGTTAAATGCGCAGCCTACCAATCTGGAAGACTTGTGGTTTGGCATAACAATAACATGGATCTAAATTTGCGAAAGAATGCTTCCAGAACATCATTGCATCCATCTCAAGAAACACAGAAATGTTCCTAAAGGCAAAGGAAAATCCAGTCCGTTACTAGAATAGTATACCTAATAAAGGAGATGGCGTTTTCATAGCTGGAGAATTAACATGAAAGAACGGTGGGCAAATGGACAGCGGCTCGGTTTGGGAAATCGGAGAACTTATGTGCGAAAACACTTGGGAAAGGTATGAATCCATCTCTTCTCCTTCAGATATGTGTAAAATAGCAGGACAAGCTGGATTCTATAGCATTGAGTGGCAAGCTGTCTAGGAGAAAAAAGATCTCTGAATTAAAAACCTGGGGACCTAGTGTACGGTCCGAGGGACAATCCACGTCATATTCCGTTGTCTTCGACTGTCGGTCAAATACTTGGAGAGGAGATGGACGCCACTCATTGAAAGGATCATGAGAAAGAAGAATCAAAGTCTGTTTCTTCTGTCACCCCCACGACCAATCGAGCAGTCGAGGTACTGATGATTATGATGACTCTTGAGTCTGACCTTTTTTACAATAGCGTGCAGAAGAGGGGGGAGGAGATGGACGCCGCCAAAGTATCTGGAAAGATCACGAGGAAGAAGAATGGAAGTCTGTTTCTTCTGTCTTCAGTTCACCCCACCACGACTATCGAAGCAGTCGAAGATCTGATGATGATGATGATGATGATGATGATGATGATGATGATGAAATTAATAGTGAAAATCTAACTGACTTTTCTAATTATTCATTTACTAATCTTTAGAGAGTGGAAGTGAATAACTGAGTTCTGGTATCTGGGGAGAGATCCGTATATTTATGAATTTTTTTTTTTTTGGTCGGGGCATAATAATATGTTTAGTGATACAAGTTTTACTAATTAACCCATAGCTGGAGAAAAGAGTTTTTTCCCCCCTCCCAAGGTTATGAATAAAACGAACCTGACGTGAATTAGAACTCAGCTCTCCTATTAACAATTCCGGGTCCTTATCAATTAAACCAGCCGCTCATTCAAGCTTACAGCACCTGGTATTCCCAAGCAGTCACCTATCAAGGTACTGACATGTCTCGACGTTGCTTAACTTCACTGATCGTACGGTAACTGGTGTTTCAACGCGTTGTGGTCATAAGCCGAGCGCCAAATGAGTGGAAAAAGGTTAAAAAATATTTTAATTGTAATTCTAATGCCTAGTTTCGCTTTAGTTATATGCAACTAATATTTTATTTTACCTCTTTTAGATTATAAAAAGAAAAAAAAAGTGAATTAAAACATGTGTTTGCGACTTGAATTTAATATTTTTTAACGGTATGACTCCCATTGAAGCAATTCATGCATAATGATGTTCTGCATTCACTGCATCAAGTGGTCGACATTTTTTGCCTCTTGTCTCTTCGAGAAGTCTGCATGCCGTCATAGCCTCTGGTTGGTTCTTCTAGTTTTCCAATACGATCTTGAGAAATATAAATGCAAAGTCAATTTTCGTCTTCTGTCTCCTTGAATACTGTTCTTTTAAAGTCTAATAATGTTTTCTTTCCCTCTTAGCAACCCCCTTTGCCTGCTGATGTCTTTTCCCGCTTTGCTTGGGGCGAAATGAATAAAATAAAGAGGCAAATACACGAGGAAACTACGTAACCTCATAAATCCTAGACTCAAATATTGAATAAATCATTCTGCATTGTTGAAAAAGATTTAAACCGTCATTTGAGGATTACCGCTGATCTCAAATTAAACGTAAGTTGTTCACGCCTGAAGACAAAGGGTTAAATCAAAGCTCTTTGGATGCTGGTTTCTAAGCTAGACAAAATGCCACTGTTTGCCATATTAGCACAGCACGATTTTTGTAAACATTTTTGAAACGTTTAGTAAATATCGGTTTAAAACGGTTAGCGACCCGGATTTTATTCATTTCGATTTTACCATGGAATCCAATTGAAATCTCTTCGACAAATCCGATACTAAATCCCTAGAAATACATTTATTTCAAATCAGCGAAAACAAATGATACTGAAACTAGTAAGAGACATCATAGAAAGTCAACGTAGATGTTTACTGAAAACATATCCTGTATTTATTACACAGAAATATGATACTTGAGGAACACGCATTAAGGATTGAACTCAACGTCACTGTCTTGGGTAAACTTCACGCTAACCTTTGTATTTCAACATGTATGCGATCAAATATATAGATATGATGATCCCTTAATATCGTAGTGTATTAAAAGAGAGGGCTCAAATGAATAAGGAAGACGAAAAGATCCATACTGCTGCCAATGCTGTTTCTCTTATTACAAGACAGAATTCTATGATTGGCTTACGGCCTCATCCCGTTCAGACATCGGTTCGCGTACAATCAGCGAAGTTAAGCAACGAAGAGCTTGGTAAGTACATAGATGTTTGACCGCTTGGCTATATATGGGTGATGTAAGCTGAGATGTAAACTTAATGTTATAAACCTTATTCTTCACACCACGGATTATATAGAAAGCTTTTATTAAAAAAAAAACTAGCAGTATAACCCGGGTTTTTCATTACTGGGAATTTTTGCCGTTTACTTGGAGCAGTTTAAGTTTACAGTCAGCCCATCAAAAAAAATCAATATTAGTAACAACAATTGTGTGCAATTGAGGAACACTCCAAAAGATGGGTGGGGGTAACAATTTGCAGTGGGGGCTGAAAAGGGCCGTTTTTGCGTTCTCAATCTTGTTTCAGCCTCACGCGCAGAAGCTGTTGAAGAGGCGTTTCTCCTCGACTGTTGAGTACTTTAATCAGCAGTTTCAGCCTCAGCGTTCGGGTGAAAGTGTGGGGACGCATAAATAACATCCAATCAAATACACACACACATACACACAAATTTTGAGAATTATAGATATAGATATAGATAACTGTGATGTATTCAATAATTAGATAACGTTTAATGAATGAGTGAATGCTTCCCAATACCAGGCGCAGTACGATTGGGTGTATGGGTGGTGTAATGGAAAAAGATTCTGAATTGAAAATCGGAGAAGTGGGTTCTAATTCCCGTTGTGTTCGTTATATAAACTGAAGCAAAAATACCCTTGGGGGATGATATAAATCCCCCTCCAGAAATAGATTAATTAGAACAATAATTATCGTTAAATCATTATCTCTAAAAAAATCTTACAACCTAAAAATATTTTATGGCTTTAAATAACCTGCAGGTTGATAAACCGTAAAGAAACAAATCGATCAATCAATAATTCAATTAATATTCTACTTCTACGATGACGAGTGTGAAAATTTGAAGTTTTCGATTTGCACGCACGCACACACACACACACACACACACACACACACACACATATATATACATGCAACTATGCAGGCATACATTCACCCTCTCATTTTCCTCCTCTTTCTCTCTTTCTCTCTCTCTTATTCAGATACGTATACCAAACATACTCAACAATGTTGTAAATGGTTTATTGAAACAGATCAAAATGTCCGCCTATTCAGTGCAATGTTCTCAGCGGGGATATATCCTTTGGTATAAAATTAACATTCTAGTTAGTGATAAAGAACGCCATATACGTGTGTGTGGGGCGATGTGCAAAAAAGAAAGGTCAAAGAAAAGCAGGGAACGTTATAAAATGTCGAATCAATTCATTTGTAACAAGTTTCACGATAATCTTAAGTCGATATCCTTATCGATGTTTGCGGAGATAGCAGAAAGTTAATTGGGGTTCATTCTATTTCATTTTCTGTCTCCCTTGCGTTCGCTTTACCCTCCTTCCTTAATCTTATATTTTGTTAAACAGTGCTGGCAAAAATTCGTCGTCATGATACGGCGTCGCGAAGGAAGATTTAGGTTTTTTTCCGCGTCACTCTCAGGTCCGATGATGACTGAAATGTTCGATAAGAGATAGGCAACTCCTACCACAGTTTCTACGTGCGAAGACCTAGCAGCTTGAGGTAAGGATCCGCAATGTTATTGGTTTTGATCCGGCATCTCGGCTTCAGTCATTTTCCATCTTAACATAGCTTCCCTTTGACCATTCTATAAATATTTTGAGGTAATTATTCCGATGAACTTTCCGCTATGGTACCTAGATGTATGTCTTCCTAAAACACATAAACACGCACACAAGCATATATATATATATATATATATATATATATATATATATATATATATATGTATGTATTTTTATTATATATATATATATATATATATATATATATATATATATATATATATATATATATATATGTTATTTGTTATTTATATAGATACAAATAATTAAGTAAATGCTCTGTTTATAATAAAAAGTATTAACAACATTTACCAGCTTGAATGTCTGAGAAATTTCATGCGTCCTTTGTAGTGTGTGACGATATATATATATATATATATATATATATATATATATATATAGGTGCTTAACCGTGGAGTTAAGCTTCAAGTTAGGACATCTAACATAGACCTGTTTAACAGGTGTAATAATGGAGGAATCGAGACTTTTATCATACAGTCTCACTTACGGTGGACTGGTTATGTCTTGAGAATATCTGATGACAGAATACCCAAGATCCTAATGTCCAACCAGTTAGATCAGTGCTACAGGAATGTAGGACGCCCATGGCTAAGATACAAAAACAAGCTGAAAAGCAACTTGTCAGCAGTCAATATACCACATAACACCCTGAGCGCTTAGCGTTGGAGCGGGTAGAATGGAGATCAACGTGTTTCAGTGGACTCAGCAATTTTCAATCTGCTTGTCGGAGTCGTCTTCAAGAAGCGAGAGCAAGATCTAAACGGTCACCCAATCTAACAGTGATCTCATTTCACAATCCTCATACTTGTTCCATATGTGGCCTCCTTTGTAAATCACTAGCGGGTCTTAAATGCCACTTCAGATTATCGCATAAACTTTCATAACTGAATCAATAAGCTGTCAGATCCTCATACGTCAAAACCGACGGGAGAGTCCATTATATATATATATATATATATATATATATATATATATATATATATATAGAGAGAGAGAGAGAGAGAGAGAGAGAGAGAGGAGAGAGAGAGAGAAAGAAAGAGAGAGAAAATTTAATTTTAAAAAATAAATCAGATTATCTGATGATCGTAAAAGCGTAAAACACAGGGTTACAAGCTCATATCAATAGAACTGAATATGTCAGCTCTATCACTATTTTCACTCTATTACTGATTATGAGCACTTTCCAATAAGTGCCGCGAATATATAATATATATATATATGTGTGTTTGTGTGTGTGTGTATGTGCGTGTGTGTACGTGTGTGTGCCCTTATGAAATGGAAAAGTCTGACAATTATTTAAAGACATTTTATATATATTTTATCTATAAAAAAAGAATGTATAAACACAAAATATCTTAAAATAATTGACGGACTTCGTCAATTTCATAATGTGTGACGGCATTTGAATACTCAATGAGCAGATATGAATGTACAGGAGAAGATCATGAAGAATTGTAGTTTAAAAACAGTAAAATCGACCTTGCTAAACCGAAACGTTCGTCTGTGGCTAAATCGGTAAAGCACGTCAGGCTATATGACGGTCCTGTATAGGATACAGGTTCGGAGGACGCATATTTTCTATGAAAATTTCTCGGACATTCAGGTTAGTAAATGTTGTTAACACAGAGCACTTAATATTTGTATCTGTAAAAAAGAATGTATAAACATAAAAATGTCTTAGAATATATCTGTGTGCATCAGAGCGTTTCCTTTAAAACTATTTTTTAAAAGGGATCTGTAGGGAAAGTAGAACATAAGGTGAGTTCTATTAGCGAAAGCATATATTAGATTGACAAAAAGGTCTCATCAATTTACCTGTTGAGTTGGCTAGATACAATCGTATGTTGTCTGTTAACATTTTCTTCTCTCGCACTTCTAGTTTGAGGAACTCTCTTATGGCTATATCTATCTATCTATCTATCTATCTATCTATCTATCTATCTATCTATCTATCTCTCTCTCTCTATATATATATATACACACACACAAACACACACACACACACACACACATATATATATATATATATATATATATATATATATATTGAATAAAAAACAGACCACGTTAAGATTCCATGTAATAAGCTATTTCACCATAACCCCTTTAA